GCTGCGAACCGTTCCAGTGCGAGCTGGAACTAGAAGTGGCACAAAAAATTCAACTTTTGTCAAAGAGAAAATCATCCAACTTCTGAAATTACTTAAATACATCAAGAAAATATGGAGCTCAACTCAGGAGGGAATATTGAATGACAATGTTAACTGCTCCCCAAAAGGGGAAGCTAGATTATGTGTTTAAAGTTGTGGATCATCTTCTGCAGCAGCTTATAATGCCTATACAAATCAACAACAATATTACACACACCTGTGTGATTTTTGGAGGTCCCCCTTGTGCTGACAGAATGGCATAGAGCTTTCAGAGGATGGATGTAGGACCTTTCAGGATGTCCTACATCCACTACGTCACTTGGTGTTTGGCACATCTGGATCCTATGAGTCATGTTGTGGGACCTCCATTTTGGGCTTATTGTAGACTGAATGCCCACTTGGATAAGCCAGGCCTCTGAGCTGCTGGTGATATGTGTTTGAGGATATTATCCTGCTTTGAGAAGCTACTGCCACTGTGGCAACAATGTAACACTGAGGAAACATGATGATGAGTGTATTGACGTCACTTGTCCGTGGTTTTCATTTTAATTCACATTTAATTTGCAGCTGATTGGTATGTATCCCAAAAAAAGCCATAATTAGGAGTATTTGAATTCAAAGGTGAGCTATCCTTTAACAACTATGTTAAATGCCGTGGTCATATCAAACTGTTTCATAGCAAGTTTGATCGGTTAGGCATAGTTCCACCTATTGTTCGTATCTTTAAATTAGGAATTGTGGTTTGAACTTCTAGCACCCGGTACAACCTTCTCCAGCAACATAGCAAAGTGTTATATTTCAGTGACATACAGTACACAGGCTTTGCTAAATGTATTGGGTGCTATGTGTGTGTTGTTTGGCAGGCGTGGAGGTGATGTGATGGTCATCGAAATACAGCCACTTGCTAATCAGCTACAGGGCCGCGTCATTGCTGTCCTCACTCCGCCTGGATGTTCGTATTTGGGGTGAGCTCATTTCTTCTTCACCAGACATGATGGGAAATGTAAAGCTTTGTATTATTTGCTTTTTAACTAGTTTATTCTTTTTTCAGATACATAGCTCTTTTCTGCCAAACGTGGTTAAACCAGTCTTAGAAATCCATTCATTGACACAATATTTTGTCTCACTGATTACTGATGAATACATTCTGTTCATTAAACTGTTATCTATGAAGGAGACTTTTGTTGTGATTTGGCGCTATATAAATAAAATTGAATTGAACCTACCGGTTATCTTTCAGCTTTGTCAAATGTGTAATCTGGATTACATCTCTCAACCAGTCAAAAAAGGTTTATCAGCCTTAGAAGCAAAGTTATATTATAGCTTTACAAGAAGGCTTTCATGCAGCCAACTTATGAGCTGCTTCACAAACCAAATATGGCAGATAATGAAAGTATGGGAAGTGTATTAAAACAAAGCAAGCGCAATCTTGATCTGTGGAGCTTGAATCTGAATATGAACACTTAAAGTTCAGTAGCAGGTCAAATAAATGACTTCATCTCCCGTCCCACACACTGTACACTGTGTCACTTCCTCTTCTCTCTCTTCCTCTCAGAATCCTGAGGGAAGCAGCGCTAGTGGCGAAGGACACAGTCGTATGTGGTTTTCAGAAGGAAAACATGGAGTGGTGCCTGTGTGTCTGGAGGGCCTGGGGCTGCTCGGAGCTGGAAGTCTTCTACCAGTCCTATGAGAAGCTGGGCCACTTGGAGACCAACATGAGGAAAAGAAAGTAGTCGTTTTGTTGCAACAGCAAGGTGCATAATCCAATCTCTGTATGGCAGCTGAGCCAAGGGGAATGCACCCTGACAGACTGCCAGTGTTCAGAGTTGGGGGTTGTGGAGCACTGACATCAGGGCAACCTGTGAGGCAAACCGGGTCTCCAATGAGGGATGATCTTGAAGCTGGACACCACTGAATACTTCAGTACAATCATAACTTTAAACCAGAAAAATTCTGCGAAAATATAAAAACCATGAAGCTGAATCACAGAATAAACTTTGGTTGATGGCTGTGATTCAGTTCAAGATGTGGTTGAGTATGTTGTGAGGTGTTTGATGCTGACTGTACCCCATCATTGTTTCTTAGCCTGTTTAAGTCTTCCTAAAGCTCAGTATACGTTCTGGAGGTGACACAGTGCTGGGAGACTCTGAAACAACAGACACCGATTATTTAAATTAAGTGATTTAAGAAGGTGCTGTTGTTCCAACTCTGTGTTGCTGTAAGCAGACAGCAAGTCGTAAATGTGTTGCTGGCTGTTATAGTTTAAGTCTATATTTGCTAAATTTCTTCAGTTTTGTTTTAAACGGTGCCACGTGAACCTGGATGCAAGCTGCAGCTCAAACTGTAAACAGCAAACTAACATCCGCGAATGTGCAACATTATTATGGAAGTTTCTCAGTCTTCACCATGAAAATGTTTTATCAGATTCTTACACATAAAACATTTTGTGTAAATGAAGCTCTGTGGTCCTCGCTGCTTCTCTATTGTGATCTGTAAAACACCAGAAAGGATTCAGCATCTTCAACAGTTCACCTCCCTAATAAGTAGCAGCTTTTGTTGTTACTGGCCTTCACAGGGTTCAAATTACACTCAGTTGCACAAGAGACTCACAGGACCGACTTTCTTTCCCAGAATGTCCAGTACTGTTGTTTTGCCAAAACTATTAGTATTTCAGAGATAAGCACAAGGTGTACTCTAGCAATGGTCATGGCAATATTAGAGGTAAAGAGCAAATGTCCCAGTGTGAAAGGCCAAGAAAGTCCTCACATTCATGTACCATTTGGGAGGGTGGTATTTGTAATTATTTAAGTTTGTTCACTCATAGGTTCAGGGAACTATTTGTGTTCTGATTAAAATATGTTCACTGTAAACGTTTTACCTGCACACTGCATGTATATGTAATGTTCTGGGGTCATATTTTAATAATCTTATGTTGTGTGACCAGCCTCACATTATGCAGACAACAGATGCTTGTTGTGCTTTTTTTCTTTTTAATTGCCTTAATACAAAAAATGTTCTTATCTCATCAGGATGTAATTGTTATCTTATCAGCTGTACATAATTCATTCTTTTTTCATTTTATTGTCAACAAATAAATAACAGAATAATTAGTTATTAAGTTACCATTTATTTACAAAGGCCAAGCGTTCGAGTGTGTACTCTCCCCCACCATACTGTTGCTTTCAACACTTCAGCTGAGGAGTGAGCTGTGGAAGCTCAAGGAGCGAAAGGCTGCAGGTCTGGATGACTTTGATGTGTAAAGCATATTACCTGGCTGTTATAAACCTCGGCTCATTATGGCGTGCAATGCGACCTTAAACTGAGGACACCGGGACAAAAGAAGTGACAGGTCCAAAAACTATTTACAGCATATTAGCAGTATCCAGTATTCCAGTAGATGGAAGTCATGTTCTCAAGAAATAGGATAAAAGAAAATCCAGCCCTTCAGCTATTTCCAAAGGCTCTTCAGAAAAGCTCTCAGTGGAAGAGTAGGTGTGAAGAAGCTGATAAGGGTAAGGAACTGGGAGAAAAGCAAACAGGAAGTGGCTAGGCTTAAAGTAGCAACAGTTCATATCAAGCAATTTGAAATTTTTGGTTGAACTCACCATCAAAAGAGAGGTAATGAGCGTCTGCAGCCATCTGTGAAACACAATGGAGACTGATAGTTGGGGCTGCATTCAGTGAATGGTCTTGAGGATTTTGTTCAAATTGATGGAATTATAAAGTATGGGCACATGATACCATCTGGTATTTTTCTGTCTTGGTTTCACTCTGGCGGAGCCCACCGGGAACGAGACTTGCTTTTGGATGGATGGTTTTGCTCTAGAGTGTAAGGATTTCTTTTATTTCCAGGAAGAGTGGGATTTCTGTTTATTTTTGGCCTTGGAGACCCTGGTGACTGTAAATAGTTGCTTGTGAAATAGATGTTTGACGCATGTTTTTCCCCCCTTTTCTTTTTTCTAATCTTAGCTTATGTATGGCTTGCACTATTGATCGTGTGTGCTACACCACATGTGACCCTTAGGTCTCGCCCCGATGCTGGATTCTAGCTCAGGACTTTCTTGCTCTGACACAACAGTGCTAACCACTGTGCCACCATACTCCTCGTGTTTGAATCTGTATACAACAGAAGTCTGAGTGTGTCAGATGTTACTGGGAGAGCTTGAAACAAGATTTCACAGCTAAAAAGGGCTGTCATTACACCTCCAAATGTTTTAGTGTTATATTTTAGCCTAGTAACAATTTTATTTTTAGAAACTAAGTAAGAAACTCCCTCGTGGTCTCACTGTCATTGCCCAGATGAGTGTTGAAGTCTTCCAGTAGGACAACAGAGTCCCCAGGTGGAGCACCCTCACACACCCCACCCAGGGACCCCAAGAAGGCTGGGGGCGTATAGGCACAGAGGACAATCGGGACCCGTTCACTGACCTGAAGGAGCAGGTAACAAACCCTCTCGTTCACCGGGAGAAACCCCAATGTGCAGGCAGCAAGCTGAGGGGATACTAGGATATTAGGACGCCCGCTACCTCTCGCCAAGCAACTCCAGACTGAGACAGGAGACTGGTTTCAGAATCCAAGTCGTGCGTTGAGGTGAGCCTGATTATATATGGCCGGTACCTCTCAACCTCATGAATAACTCATACTCCTTGGGTGCTCTCATTTTGGGCAAAATGCCGAGAGCAGCCATGGTCTCATAGCCTCACAAGACTAATTCTTGCCACTGCTGGCCATCTAGATTTACATACGTATAGTATCCATGGGCAAGAACCTACTGTACTGTGCAAAGGTTTTAGGCAGGTGAGAAGAACTTTAAGCAAAGAATGCTTTGAAAAATGGAAGTGTTTATCATTTATTTTCATCAATCAACAAAATGAAGTGAAGGAACAAAAGAGAAATCTAAATCTAGTCAGTATTTGGTGTGACCACCCTTTGCAAGTGTACCTAGAAGAATTGATGCTGTTTTGAAGGCAGAGTTTTTGAAGGAACTCGGCTGGTCGGTTGTTAACCACAGATCTGTGGATGCAGGCTTCCTCACATCCTTCTGTCTCTTCATGTAATCCCAGACACACTCAATGATGTTGGGATCAGGGCTCTGTGGGGGCCAGAGCATCACTTCCAGTACTTCTTGTTCTTTACACAGAAGATAGTTCTTAATGACTGTGGCTGCGTGTTTGGGGTTGTTGTCCTGCTGCAGAACACATTTGGGTTCAATAAACAAGCATTTATATTTCTGAAAGCGTTCTTTATAACACTTTTGCACAGTACTATATATTACGCCTGCCCTACAAATTCATAGTTAAAGGTTTGTAGTTGTACATCCTTAGTTTTTTTTAGACAGAAGAGGGTAGTAAAGACAAGTATTGCTTTTTGTTAAGATATAAAGCAAACAAAACTTTGGTTGATAGTGTCATTCTAAAGATTTGGTGCCTTTTGTTTTATTTTGACAACAATAAAACTCATAAATAAAGGGATGCTAAATATATACACAGACTTGGAGATTCAATTAATTTAATAAATTCTGGTTTCTCAGAATCCTCATGAGCCAAATGATGACAAGACATTTGCCTAAAATAGTGTAACAATTCTCTAAGTCTTCTCTCACAGGAAGCCATTCACCAAGTCAAACGGCAGGAAGTGAAAAAAATATGATAATTTAGAGTTGTTACTTCCTCATCCTCTGAGGTATTTGTGGCTACAGTGTTGTCATGTTCTACACCCTTTCTTCTGGAGAACAAAATGTATGAAGTGAAACAAAAAGCCATCATTTGAACATTAACTTAAACCATTGTCTAATCAAAAATGATATTCCCTGATTTCCCAATGTGCAGCTCCTCTTTTTAATACGAGACCAAATGTTACAGTTTTACAAGTAGAAATGTTTCCTGTTCTTGTTTGAGCTAAGGTTCTGTCTTCCTTGTATGTATGTGCACATTTCAACAGTGGCATATTCAATTCAGTTTTATTTATGTTGTGCCAACTCACGAGCAGTCGCCTCCAGGCACTTCTGCATGGTAAGAGAAATAGAGTAATCTGCAAAATGCTGTTGCAATGCAGCAACATCCACTTTCTGGAGATGGTTATCACAATGGAGGGAGGCGGGATTGGTGGAATTTGGCACCTCCTACCCAAACTCATCTCTTTCCCTTACCATACTCACTAGAGAAGCAGTTTCAGCCTCTCTCCGTGCTTTAAAGAGGTTTAGTTGAATGTCCAAATCTCCCACTCGCAGTGTGACCATGACGGGCCCTTGCCATGTGGCGAGTAATTTTGAGCTAGAAGAAGGGAGTAATACAAGCACTTTATTTCATGGTGAAAATTGCCTTAGTCACCACTTCCCCTGCCAGTGGCGGACTCCCTCAGACATCGGTGCGTTGGTGGTTCTTTGTGTCCGGGGATGGGCGTCCAGGTACACACCGGCTCACTCCTTGGCGGCCGCTTATCGGGGCCTGGAGCCTGGGGCTCGCTCGGGCCACTTCGGAGGTGGGGTGCCCCCGGCCTCTCGGCCTGGGGCTCGGTCACTCAGGCACGGCTGGCTGCCGGCGGAGCTCACGGGCGCGTCACTGCAACTCCCCCTGGCTTCTGCTCCGCGGCTGCTGAGTGAGCCCTCATCTGGGACTCTCCTCAGCTCTTTCTGGGACAGTGGCGCGGCTGCCCCTCTGTTGGTCTTCCTTGGTCTCTTGTGTTCTGGGGGCCTCTGGATGTCTGGAGTTTTGATCTCCTCCATACCTGCTTCATGCCCTGGAGGACGGGGCTGTGGCCCCCCCACACCCTCTAGCAGATCATTACATGAAGGAACCTTTTAAAAAAAGCGCGTCCATGCTCACAGGTGTACACACGGGTGATCACACCCACAAACTACACCCTTTTTGGCTCCTACCTCAAAGCACACTGTGCGCTGTCGATCTTATGTGCTGCACAATAATGTTTAACATTTAGTATTTACTGTCATATTCCCATATATCATTGTGATGTTCAGTGCTTATTCAGTGCTTTTTTTTAAGTCTATTTACAGCCAGAAAAGATTGTATTCATTTTAATGAATGATAAGATAGAGCCTTATGTTAGGAAAGCTTTACGTTACTGCTCAGTGTCGTTGAAAAGTCCAGGAAGAGATTACTGAACTACCAGTAAATGAAACTCCTTCCCACTTTCCTTCAGTGGAGCTTCTGAGGGACAAGATTGTTGCTGACATGTTATTGCTCACACAATCTAAATTACTACGACTTTGAAGTTTGAGCCTGTTGTGAAATGATTCTTTTTATGGACTAGTAATCAATGCCAGGGCAGGAACGCCTCAAAAGATGGATTAACAACAGGCCTCACATCCTCACTTTCTGATCATCCGTGGTTGTTATGTCTTGTTTTTTTTACATTTAATTACATGCCCGTTCAAAGAGCTTTATTATATAAGATGAAGACTCTGCAACACATAGAAACCAGAAAGGAGGAAGAGAAGAATGTGGTGTGACACACAGAGTACGTGAGCTGGTAGAGGGAAACTATAAGCATGAGGGATTGTTGCTTGAGACAGAAAAATATGACACAATGCATTTACTCTCCCCCAATTTTATTTCTTTGTAAATAGAAAACCATGTCCATTTAGAAAGCAATAAAACATTTTTTTAAAGAAAATCAAACCATGATGACAGCACAGTAACTGCTTGTGTGATCAGTGTTATAAATCATGTTGTAATGCTGCAACAAGAGCATAAAGCCAACAGAGCCCTACAGTGGAAGTTCACAGGCAGGGGCATGAAAAGAGGAAATGATTTACCATCAAACCTGTAAAACTAGACAGGAATGACACGCCTCTCATGTCAACATAAGAGGAATTGATTTGGAAAAAAGAGAAAACCATATGCGAGCAATCAAAGTGCTGCTGCTACTCAAGCTTGAAGTGGAAGCCAGACACCCACGTCACCCATTTAGAAGATCTGTGATAGAGTTTGTGTATCCCCCACTATGGAGCTAGTTTCATGTTCATGCCTGCAAAACACCACACACGCACGCACACACACACACACACACACACACACACACACACACACACACAGACACACACACCGACAGACAGAACGACACACACACACACACACACAGACACACACAC